CCCAGAAGATCATCAAGTTATGCTGTCTTGAAGTTAAAACATACTGATGATGTACTCTCTGATAAGTGCAGGGTGTACAAAATTATTTATTATAACATAAAACCAAGGCCAAAAAAAGAAAAAAAAACTCCTCATTCAAATATCCGCAATAGACTTGAGCACAGAGGCGGTTTGGCCTTATATTGTTGGCCGTCACACACGACAGGAGAGCACGAAAATTAATGTTGCAGAGATGAGATGGCCTCAGGCAGAGGTGAACCTGGCATAAAGGTGAAATACAGCCTGAGCTGCACATCTGCTTAAGCTGATCTGACACCTCGGCCGCCGAACGCTCTGACACCATTAAATGTCAAAGCTCTTTTACGGAAACTTTGCCTTGTCTTTTAACGCAGCCGTCAAAGACACTGATCCATCCAGACGTTTATCACCGAGAAGGGCAACGTTTGCGCCAAGACGTGGAGGTTTCAGGCTTACAAATCAGACACGGACACATGACATGACTCCCTAATCGGGTGACATACGGTGTACAGAATGGCAGGTCACATAAAGTTGAAGGGATAACGGTGCTTATAAAACCGAGAAAGAAAAGAATTACAGCTCGTGACTAACACTCAATTTCTGTGAAAACCCGCAATTCTATGGGACCCAGCATGGTACCATCTCTTTCTGTCAACCCACCGACTCTTTAAATGTTAAAGCAATTTCCCACAGAGAAGCGGAGGAAGGAGAGTGCTTGATGGTTAATTGTGGAGCCTTTTCACTGCAAAATCTCCTTTGCTCTTTTTCTTATTTCATGAATGGCCCTATTTTCATCTATCAATCTCCATGCCCTCGCTCACCTGCAGCATTGTTCATTCTTAAAGGCGTGCTTTGAAATGACCTGACACGATTCCTCTTCCTGTGCAGGTCCAGGTCATTTTTTAGATGACTCCAAGGCGCAACTCCGTGATGAGAGGGCAGGATTCATTAGCCTGTCACCCTCTCAAAAGAAGCAGCTCATTATGCAGAAATTAATTAGCCATTCTCTCAGAGACAGCGTGTCCATCTATAATCAGATCTGTCTCGTCGTCTCTGCACGCCTGTCTAATGAAAATGTTTTTTACTTTTTTCACACCAGACAAGGTGAACCTAGGGATCAAATGGAATGAAACATCAGGGCGTCATCTTCTTCCAGAACAGAAAAATTCAGCCAATTAAATGATCGACAACGGCACCGTTTATTCATAGAATGGCTTGAATTGTTTAATTTCGCTTTACAGCTATTCCGACTCACCCGTCACACAGCCGCGCTCACACCGAGATCTGTTCAAAATGCTTCTACTTTCATCTAACGCTATATAAAATGCAAGGGCGGAACTGAAATAAAATCTGGATGTGGTGAGCTGCTCCATATCATTCGGGATGCAGGGCCTCGGTCCAATGCCGCGCCGACGGGCAGGGTCAGAGGGAGACAGAAGTGCGTGAATGAGTCAAGGCAGGGCATGTCTAGACACATAAAACTAACACATTCTCATCTATCACAGAAATCTGAGGTGTCAGTGCATGACAGTGCCTCCATGAAGACCTTGTTAAATAAGGTCAAAGGATGACTTACAAGATTGCATCATAAAATGCCTTGATTTAGACTTTACGGTCAAGCAGAAAATAGTAAACTTTGATCCTCTTAAGAGTACAGAGCTCCTAATGGGTTTCTGAAAGATGTTAACCGAATGCTGCTGTGACATTGCCATTTACAACCGGCTGGCTGAAGAATGCCTCTTTAATTTCAACTAGATGTGAACTAGAGGTGTTGCAATATACCGGTGTTGACGATAATCAAGATTTCCAAAGCATGAAATATCGGCATCGTGTTGATTTAAAGTGTGGCAATGTACCAATATATGTGACTTTTGCTCTAATGAAAGTGCAAAGAAAGCAGCCGACGAAAAAAGTGAGAAGTGGAGCCCTGCTTTGGCTGAGGATGTGTGTCAGTGGGTGAGAGCGTGTATCTCAGCTGGTGATCCCTCGCCCTGCAGGGTTAATCTCCTCTGGGAGGAGCGAGCGGCAGGGTGGAGGATATTACAGCGGCTTCCTCAGCCATCACTGCACACAGCAACCCGCCATGCACTGCTAGGCTCAGCCCAGATCAGCCGACTTTATCACGGCTCAACTACACAACTGAGCTCATACTGGGGCAGGACTCCAATCCTCAGCTCATAATACCTCATCTAAAGAATTCACAAAATAGTTTTCCCAAAACACTCTGCACCTCTGCAGTGCCGTATGAGAGTGACAACATCACAAGCTTCTGACATTTTAAGTGGTGGGGCGAGAGGCGGTCCGGCAAAGGGGGCGATTACCTGCAGAAAGGCCATTCAGACCCCACAGCCTCCATTTCAAAACTTCACTCCATCAGCCCTGCCTTGTTTGTGTTTAACCTTTATCCAGACGCAAAGGGGTGCAGCGAGGGTCCTTTTATTGTGATCTGAATTATTTAGAGGTCTAAATCTTTAATGTGCGTGTCTTTGATAGAGGTTGCCATTTTGAGAATCTGTCATTCGTCAAACTGTGCGGCCTGCCGAACGTCGGGACAGGACAGGGGTGTTAGATCTGCGTGGATGGTATAGCAGAAAACTACTTGCTATAGACACATGACAAGAGACCAAAGTTCAACGTAAAAAGATTTTGATGTGTTTATACTCTAATGCTCACACCACAAAGCCGTGGAAAAGAGCTGAGGCGATCAAAGAATGCTCATCCATGTTGAAACGCAGCCAATTTTCTTTGGAGACATGTCTGACATGACCATGTTAAAAACTGATATTAGAAAAAAAGAACATCCAGAAATGTTATTCCATTCAACTGTCTGCTGAGTTTGTGAAGTAAAAGGAAGCCAGGAAAAATTATAGCAAGTTCAAAAATGCAAACTGAAACTGCATCTAACCTCACTCATTACAAAAATCAAGAGGATCTTCTTTATTTTATCCTGTAGCTCAATGAGGATCATTTTCTCTGTAACCTCAGTTGGTCTTAGGTTTGGCTGTAACATTGAAAGGGACATTTTATTCTCAAATTATTGAGATGCACCGTGTTTTTGAAAAGAAAATGAGACCGCCTATTACAGGGCATCAGTTGTTTTTCCTTAAGACTATTTATTTTAAAAGTGTTAGTCCACTACTATTTGTAGACTGAATAAAAGCGTCAACGCAAAATGTAATGACTTTTTTCATTATTATTTTTAAAAATAAAACTTATTTTACAGAATGTTCATGCTGGACTTTTCAATAACCCCAAAGACAAATCCTAGAAATCATAGATTTGTGTGAAGAATACACTTCAAAAATTTTAGTTAAAATAAAATAATTATATAATCAATACAACGTAATGTGATAATATTTGTATTATTTATTTACATTTATTAATGTCATGTCATTTGAATATGCATATATTTTGCACTGCAACTTAACCTGCAGTGTTGTTATTGTTAACTTAAATAAAGTTAATATAAAATAACTAGGGCTGTGCAAAAATTCATTGCGATTAATCACATCCAAAATAAAAGTCTGTGTTTACATAATATATTTGTGTGTGCTGTATATAATTATTTTGTATATATAAATACCTATGCATGCATGTATATATTTAAGAATTATTTGCACTTAAATTCTGTATATATATATATAAATACATAATCTATATTATATAAATATAAATATTTTTATATATGAATAACACATTTTCTTAAATATATACATGCATGTGTGTGTATTTATATATACAAAATAATTATATACAGCACACACAAATATATTATGTAAACACAGACTTTTATTTTGGATGCGATTAATCGCAATTAATTTTTGCACAGCCCTAAAAATAACAAATATTAGATGAAAAACTAAAACTAATATTATATGAAAAGCCAAGATTAAACTGTGCATTTTGCATTTTCCAATTGTACAGCTTGACAACACCTGATCTACATTATCTGATAAAGAGCAGGTTGAACATTCTGCTAAACTTCTCCTTTTATGTTCTACAGAAGAAAGAAAGCCATTTAGGTTCGGAACGACAACAGGTTGAATAAATATTCAAAATATTTTTTGTCCACACTCAACTCAACACTACAGTCATGTTGCAGTATGTATTTACGCTACATCTCAATCCATGCTTGGTTCTTGTCCTTCCTTGTTTGCCATTACATCAATGCCAAGGCAAGTGTAACCCCAATGTCAAAATGAGCTGCTCTTGCATGTGCACATCCATCCAGCATAGCAGCAAACCGGAAGTTTTGTAAAGAAATATGTGCTGTCTGACTCCTGAGGATGATTGCTATGAGTCTAACAGGGGGAATGTAGCTTCTTTTCTATAAAAGCTGAACACCACTGATTACTCCCCCCACACACTCATAAAGACAGAGAGAAAGAGGGGGTGGAGTGTGAACGACTTTCTTATTCAAAAGGCATTTTAAGGATGTGCAAAAAAATGAAATTACGCCACTGCAAACCCGCCACAGTTCATTAGCTCACAGAAACAAAAGAATTTTCCTGTAACAGTCATTTGTCATCTTATCATCCCGAATTACGAACGAGATGTTGGCGCAGCGCTGGGCCAGGGCGCATCAGCGCTCCGTAACCTTTTCTGTTGTGCCGATCTCCCCTTGATGACTCTGTTAAAAGACTATTAGCAGAGAATTATCCAAGTCATTCTCCAATGTAATTATGCAGCCTATTGACAGCAGCTGTCATTTTCAGGCTAACATGAGCATATTATGTTGACATGAGATAACAAGGAGTGTTTCCCCTTCAGTGCACAGAGAGTCTCTCCTAATAGAAAGCAATGATTGAGAGCTCCCTACTCCCAGAGTCCTAATCGTTCGTGCCAATCTAATCAGTAAGTGTACACTCATAAACAGGTTTGTCTACAGAGCTGGATCCATGCCAGCCAGAGACATTGGCACAAGTGCAATTAGCAGGAAGTAGATGAAGCAGATGTTTAGAGGTTGACGTAGGACATCTCACCTTGGTAACGCAGCAGCAAGGAGCTGGACTGCGGCTGCTGGCTACGGAAGTGGATGGATATTTGGTTGCTCCAGCTGCGTACCACTAGACCTTTAAGCAAGATGGACTCGTTGGCCAACATTGAAGGTTCCCTGCCGCCCAGGTCTTCGAATCTCACCACGTCACCCTCAGCCAGGCTCACGTTCATCACCTTAAGGTTATGAGAAGAGAGAAGAAAGAGAGCAGAAACATGGTTAAAGAACCAGTTAAATCAAATTAATTCTTGTAGTAATACTTTTTTTCCCCCTGCTATGATTACTCTGGATTTATAGAAAACTCTTTCCCAACTCTTCCGACAGTGGACATACATGCAGAACGGGTGTCTCATTTACACCTCATCTCATCTAATGTATTGTGTTTAAGATTATTCTGGGATGGAAATGACGGTGACGGAAATTACCTTTCTATCCTTTTTTGGAATAAAAAGGCGGACTCCTTAGTTTTGCTATGCCTATTCCATAGCTAACATCCAGAGTTGTTACTGTTAATAATAAAGCTAAAAATGAAATAAAATGGAAATGGAACTGTTTAGAAAAAAAAAACTTTAGTTAAAATTATAATTAAAACCTTTATAGAATTATATTTAAAAAATTAAAGTGTAACTTTTTACGATTTTCACAGTAGCAACTCATTGCAGTACCCGAGATCCAGGGGGTGGGGTTGGATCTAGATCTGAGGGGTAGAGTTGGGTAGGTTTAGGGGTGGGTTTAGGGATCAGGGGGTGGATCTAGGTAGGTTTAGGGGTGGGTTTAGGGATCAGTGGGTGGAGCTGGGTAGGTTTAGAGGGGGATTTAGGGATCAAGGGGTGGAGCTGGGTAGGTTTAGGGGTGGGTTTATGGATCAGGGGGTGGAGCTGGGTAGGTTTAGGGGTGGATTTAGGGATCAGGGGGTGGAGCTGGGTAGGTTTAGGCGTGGGTTTAGGGATCAGTGGGTGGAGCTGGGTAGGTTTAGAGGGGGATTTAGGGATCAAGGGGTGGAGCTGGGTAGGTTTAGGGGTGGATTTAAGGATCAGGGGGTGGAGCTGGGTAGGTTTAGGGGAGGGTTTAGGATCAGGGGGTGGAGCTGGGTAGGTTTAGGGGTGGATTTAGGGATCAGGGGTGGAGCTGGGTAGGTTTAGGGGAGGGTTTAGGGATCAGGGGGTGGAGCTGGGTAGGTTTAGGGTGGGTTTAGGGATCAGGGGTGGAGCTGGGTAGGTTTAGGGGGGATTTAGGGATCAGGGGTGGAGCTGGGTAGGTTTAGGGTGGGTTTAGGGATCAGGGGTGGAGCTGGGTAGGTTTAGGGGGGGATTTAGGGATCAGGGGTGGAGCTGGGTAGGTTTAGTGGGGGATTTAGGGATCAGGGGGTGGAGCTGGGTAAGTTTAGGTATATGTAAGGTGGGAGGAGTTGGATCTGGATCCGACTCCTCCCCGTGGATTTCATGTTCTGCAGTGAGGACTATCTCGATTTTCAACCCATTTTCTATTTTCACAATGTCAGTAGTATATATATTGTTACTCTCTCTTTTATTTGTCAGCAAAAGTCCACCACATGAACAGAAAGAATGGCATAAAAACACTGTGTTCATAGTCATCCAGTTTGAGATGTTGACTGCAAACATGGCCTTGGATAGCAACATGCCCAGTGCATTATGGGTATTGTTTACTATTTGGCAAAAAGACAACAGCCTTTTTTCTCTGTTTCAGTCAGGTAGCACCGATTAAAAAAATGTTTTGCCTTTTTACTGCATAGGCAAAAGTCAATTTTGTCAGAAGTGAAGTACCCCTTTACAAAAAAAAAAAAAAAATCCTAGGATATAAAAGTGATATACTACACCGTGACTCCCCCGCAGTTTCAAACATGACTGATCCAAACAGAAGCAAAACTGTGTTTGTTAAATGATTTAATAGGGATAGGAATGTTTCACGGTGGAAACGTTTGGACAATACACAAAAGCAAAGGAACAGATTCAGATTGACGTGTTTTCAGCTATGCAGAAATGGCAGTGGGGTGACACATTCTGCCACACTGACTGCACTCATAATGGTGTTGGCTTGTCTGTCTGCCAAGCTGCATGGTAATTGCACCACGGGCAATCTCCTGTCTGCTGAAGCCAGCATGCATATCCTCACCTGTCACTAATAGAAAACCACAGCCGCCCATTACTTCAAGTTCTGCCCATCTTCCACTTTAGACAATACATGCAACAACTGCATGAGCCAGTATCCAATATGGCAGCGTGGGTGGAAGTCGTGACACGGAAGAGAGTAAAAAAGTGTGAGTCTGAGGAATAATTACAATCATGCTGAATGAAAAAATCAGAACTATTCAACTACCGTGCCGTCGTGAAACTGTGCCATTATGGCTGATCTGGGATCAGCTGGGATGTGCCCTTGTGCTCCTCTCAGGTAATGAAAGGGTCTTTAATCAGATGCAGGCAAATGAATGTGACCCGACGAGCGACCCTGCCTAGACACAGACGTGACGACAGGTTAATGAGGTCTTGCACACATGGTCCTCAATCTAGACACCGCAAACTCTTTACGACAAGAAGACACGTCAAACTCTCAGCACAAATTAATGCCACTGTCTGAGGTTTACCATCAGGAAAGTCTCAAAAAAGCACAACCGTACCCAGCAATTTAAATTCGGCCACAGTGAACGATGAAGACTGAATTTAAATAAGCACAGCTGAAAACACGCTTAAAGGCCCCTGAGTGCTGTGAAGGTAACAGGTGACAACCTGATGATGTGTACAACAGAATAAATTCACGCTTAATAAAGCTGGAGCTGCAATGTGCTGAAGCAGTCTATAAAACAAAAGTGCATTACAAAGTAATCACATTACACTAAAAGCCCTTGGATAATAAAATGTTTCCAGAATATTGCTCGCCATAATCCAATTTGCGTTGGCACCGGGCCCGACCGTCTACCCCACGCATGTAATCCCTCGCATAAACATGACTGTCAGTCAGATGCAGACGTTGGCGTGTAAATGTGCAGCCGCTGTATCATTCGAGGTCAGTGTTGATTAAAATGTTTGCTGTTTTTTACACAGAGCACAACAGACAGGTTCAAAATAAAGAGAAATTAGAGTCAATTATCCCAGCACTCCCGGCCTGCCCAGAGGCCCCATATGCCATAGAATGAACAGGGGAAACAGGAAGACCATTTTGGTTTTGTCCCAAATACAAAAAAGATCTTAAAGGGACAGTACGCCCAAATTTAAATTTGTATGGATATTAAAATATAAATATTAAAGCTACACTGTGTGATTTTTACCCCCATCTAGCGGTGAAAAGGTATATGACCAGGAAAAGGTTTCTGTTCCTCTCAATTCCGATTTCGTTTTAACTCCTACGGTGGCCAATGTAGTCCAAGATTAACATGGCTTCCAGTTCGACCATGTCCATGAGTGTTAACTCAAACGTAAATGCGAAAGGTGAAGCTTGAATTAACGGGTGTGTCCCTCTTTGGCTAATGTACTTTCAAGATGGAGGGGCAACATGGCGACCGACACTAGAATCCCTTACCCGTATGTATTTCGATGGCACATTATACACTCACGAGAATACTTTATTACTTGAACGAAGTAAATATACATTAATGAGCACGTATATTTTTATTTAGAAAGAACTACGTGTTTTTAGCTAAGAATAAACTAAAAGAGATACACGGTGTAGCTTTAAGGTATGTCAGTACTCTCTTTTGCAATAATAAAACACTAATTTAACATACAATGATTTGTGGAATAAATTATGCCTTTTTAGACAAAAATGTTGGTGGGAAGAACTACAGTGCTAAGAAATAGGTATCAAAATTTGTTACTGAATCAAGGCTCATACCTTTCATATCTTGTACATTCTTGTCATTTTTTAGCAGGACACCTCACAAGCTGTCAGGGCTCAAAAGAGTGTCGCTGCGTTAAAAACAGTCGCTCAGTGTGGGACTACACACCATGTGTCATGATTCTGCCTTCTTGTCTTTGATTTTTCTCTAGTCGTGACTCGTGAGGCAGGATCATGACAGAATCATGTTTTGTGTGCAAGCGCATGGCCTGTTTGGGCCATGTGCTTGTGTTGTCTCGTTAACTTACCCCGTCCCCTTGTTATCCTAGTCTTGTGATTATTGTCTAGTCAGTTTCACCTGTCTTTGTCATTAGTGTTCCCTTTATAATCCCTTTGTGTTTGCTGTCCTGGGTCGGTTCATTGTGAAACATTGTTTGAAACCTGCTGTGAAACCTGCCGTGAGATCTGTTTGTTGTTTTGTGAAGTTTGCAGTGAGTAATCCCTTGAGTTAACTGTTAATCCAGAGTCTGTTCGTGTCTTAGTATTGTTCCTGTCTTGACCTCAGTTTAAGTCTAGTGTTTGTTACCCAGTCTTGTTTTGCCCCCTCGTGGGCTTTGTTTTCCCCTTTTTGTCTTGAATAAATTTTGTGTTGAGCAATCAGTCTGCTTTTGGGTTCGTCTATCCTCCCACTTCATAACAGAATGAACCGACCACCAAAGAACCCAGCAGACAGTTCGTTCTCCCAGTTCCGGCCACAGCCGGAACGGTGGTGGTTGTCAGCTCCCACAGACGGAGAGAGAATCAACGGTCCTGTCCCACCCGAGGGTGAGTGGATCCTGAAGAATTGGGCCCGACTCTGGGATCATTTCTCCCAGGAGGATCCGCCAGCTTCTACCACCTTGTCACCACCTGCCAGGCTGCCAGTGATCCCGGAGGGTCACATTTTAGCCGTGGTTACGCAGGGGAACCAGGCTCACTCCACTTCGGCTCCCGACGCTTCAGCTGCACCCGCAAGTCTCCGTGGCAAGCGAGAGAGACGGCTGTCGTGGGAGTCTACTTCGGAGTCCTCTTCAACCGAGACCACGCTTCCTGCCGTGCTTCCCCAACCGGTCACAAACCTGGCTATGTCCTCTGCTCCACGACCCAGGAAGAAGAGGAGGAAGAAGGGAGTCTCTTGTCCTCTGTCTCCGTCTCTCCCAGAGCCCGCTCCAGCAGGCGCCGTCCCAGAGCCCGCTCCAGCAGGCGCAGGCGCCGTCCCAGAGCCCGCTCCAGCAGGCGCCGTCCCAGAGCCCGCTCCAGCAGGTGCCGTCCCAGAGCCCGCTCCAGCAGGCGCAGGCGCCGTCCCAGAGCCCGCTCCAGCAGGCGCAGGCGCCGTCCCAGAGCCCGC